AATATTTTCATTGAATTCCCACTCCAAACCTTTAATTACTTAGTTCAGTAATTAAAGTAGTTTTGTCAATACAGATGTGAATTTAATTAATGTAGTCTTTTCAACCCCAGGAAAAATGATTAAACCAAAACAGTTTTCTTAAATTATGAGTTTGGAGAATGAATATATGTATATATGTATGTATGCATGAAGGTATCTCTAAGAAAATCATTATAAATGTTAATATTTCTATATCAGCCAAGTATGGTACCCTTAGAAGATTGTAAGATTTGGGGCAAATGTTTCCTGATCCTTGCAAGTTGATCTAAGAGCTATTTTTGGATCAAGAATAGGTAAAAATGTTTAAAAGAAGTGGAGAGGTTACTCATTCGAATGATGCCAACAGGTAGGATTTATGCAAATTATCTCAGAACCTTTGGCTATGACAGTTGGAAATATAACTGCTGTTTCTAGTTTTCTAGAACCTGTCTATTCTCAGGAAATTTCATTTGCAACTTTAGTCAGTGTGCACAGTCAACTGAAATCCACAGTCTGGCTAAGCAAAGTTTCCTAGCAAAAGGTGAATATCTCAACTACTAGGTTATAACTTTAATGTTAAATTCCTGTTTTGAAAAAAAAAAAATCCACAAGTGTCAAAATATGAATGAAAATTGTAAAATGAAAACCCCACATTCCTGTAATTTTTATCTTGCAGGTCCTAAATATTAAACAAATTCAAATAATCAAGTCACATTTCAATTAGCTTAACTTCTTGCAATTGTACAATGCTCTACAATGTAAATATTGTAGAGTGCTCTACAATTCTAGACACTCTATTATAATTGTTAATTTAGGGATCATTATTAACTTGGAATATTTAAAATGATTTTGAAAACATGACCATTTTTGGATTCTGGCAATATATAAATAAGATATATACAATTAAAAGGTACAACTTAAAGAAGTAATTTGAGATGCATTACTAATCTCTGGAAAGTGTTTCTAAGACTGCAATTTTTCTACAATTTGTTTTGAACATGGTGATAATTAATGTTGCTCAGAAAGATCTGATCCCCAACACTTAAAAAACCCTATAAATGTCATTACATAAGCACATAATCTTTGCTTATCATGTGTTTTGTGTTTGCTCATTTAAATCAAGGACAGACATCTACATGTTATGTGATGGAAGAACAAGCAGTATAGTACCCTGCTACACCTTCTACATAAACTATGTTGCTTTCAGAGATAATTCTGAGATAACCTCAGAATTATATAAATCAGAGCAAGATAAAATGGACAGGCAGATACAGTTATTATTTGTATTTGTTGTCCTCATGTATAATGAATTTATGGTTAGTTTTTATATATAAGAAAGAAAACTCCACTGCCACTTATGTTCCATAGCACCCAGTCTAATTTCAGTACTATAGATGAGAAAACTGCATGAAGCAGTAGATAGGAGATTATAATAAAGGAATAGAATAAGGTTACATTTTTGTGTATCTTGTCTTGTAAAACTTAGGCTGCTCACTCTATGTTTTTATACAGGACAACCATGTGAACAAATAAATATGGTTGTTTCCCCTGAATGACTTAATTGACTCCCAACTTCGAGGCCCAGTCTTTTCAAGTGGAAGAACTGTTCTGTACCATACAGGATAAAATTGTTCTATGTATACAAATAGCAATTTCATTTTCCTCCAGTTAGAAGCAATGTATCATGAAGTAAGCAAGAACAAAATCTTCTGTGTAAAAAAACCTGCTAATGTGATTAGTTTACATCATATTAACAGCACATGTAATCAGAATTGAACACAGACATAGGATTACCATCTCAGTGTGAATGAGGTTTGCTTATGTGTGTAGACTGGGCATTTTCCAACTGAATACTCTATGATCCAAATCAGAGGGTTTACTGACAGATCACATGTACATACACACACAAGCACTCTCTTCCTCTCTCTTTCTGTATGAATATTGCAAAATAAATCATAATAAAGCTCACTTAACCAAGATGGTGTACTTCAAACATACCAAGAATTGCTCTTTTTGAAGTTCAAATCTATATATTTATTTATAAATACTGTCTCTAAGAAAACTTTTAATACATCTCCAACAGATTTCAGAATTTATTTATTTAGGTAAATGGATACAAACGATGGATGGATAGATGGATGGATAGATATCTCATTGAGGTACTCCTTCGTATCTTTGGCTTCTGCCATTGACAATGGTTGTGGAAGCCCACAAGGTAACTACATTAGACTTGAGATCAACCTCAGTATTTCCCTCCCCCCCAATACTGTTTGATCAACATCTTTACAAACTGTAGGCACGTTCACTGCATTCCCCCTCCATTTTCATTACACCATCCAGAGTGTCTTCTTGTGAGTGGCCATATAAATGTGATAAATAAATAAATGAAAATAAATATGTTTTCCAAACAGGGATTGTAGTCTGTTCATCTTTATTTTCTTTCAAGTCCTTTGCAACTTTATAAAAGGTTCAGTTTTAATAGTATCAAATGGTTGCCCTAAATTTTGTTTTCCTTTGTACTATTTGGTTGAGGAATTTGTTTTACTGTAATTAAGCCTGCTTTTAATAATGTAAGCTATTGGCTGCATGAAGTCATAGGAATAATCTTATGTTATATAAACATTTTATGTTATATAAACATTTTGAAAAATTTGTTATATAAACATTTTAATTTTTTTCCAAAGAAGTTCTAATGTTTTAGTAAATTAAATCATAAATTACCAAACAATTTTGTCTTAAAAAGAAATCTGAGTTCTTGTTCATTTTTTGCCTGATAAATTCCCATGTCCAAAAATTTTTGCCTACTGTGGAGATAACCCATCATGGAGTATAACTGGTGTGATATACTATTACAGTGTACATAAATTTGCAAAGGTAACTAAATAACCAAAATCATAACAACAAAAGACCATTAAAACAGGGGAAACTATTAAAACCACAAAAAAAATAATCTGCAGGGCACAGCAATCAATCTCACTCAGTCCAGCCATTTTGCGAGCTCCATACTGCAAGACCCACAGGCCAGATGGCAAAGCCATGTCCTCAAGCCCTTCTGGAAATCCAGTAAGGTCAGGGCCTGATTGGTGGGTGAAACTCACTGGTAGGCAAAAAAGGAACAGGAGAAGAAATCTGTGTTAATGAGAGGCTAATATGATATAATAGTTAATGCTGGATTGTGCTGCAGGAAAGTGAGGCTTTAAATCGATATTCAGTGAAACTTACTATATTTTATTGGCTCTTTCTTTACATCTAAAAAAAATGTAAAGATGATAGAGATTTATCTCAACCATGCTAATAAACAACATTTGTATCCCCAGATTAACTACAAATGCCTTCAGCCAATGACTACCTTTTTAAGCAGCTGATTGAAATCACCACCACTTAAACAATTTCTAAGCAGCCAATATAGGAATCTTCTAATCCACGTTACTCATTTCATATGGATTATTCAAGTGAAAAAGGACAAAAATCAAGGTGTAACGTAACAGACACTATATCTGACCAGCCTAATTGTAACTGGTTTTTTATTTTCTCAGATGGAAAAGTTGGTCTCACAGAAATCACTTCACTCATCTTTAAAGTGACAAAGGCATTTTGTTAATACACATGATAGCTATGTACATGTCAAAATTCAGTGCTACTTCATACCACCGTATTTAAAACCTTCAATTTGAAAATGTTCTGCCAGTTATAAATTGCTAGCTAGGGGATAATGCAATGTATTACTTGCATTAATTAAATTTCCAACTTTCAATAGATAACAGACAACAGCAACTCATTTCTTATTTGAAAAGAACCATACAGAAACAGAGCAGTTCCCTAGCGCAGAAAAGTTATTGTGGCAGCCTACAAGCAAGCCTTTTCTTTCAGGAAGCGCATAACGCGTGAAGTGCCCGGTACGCTTCCCTGAATTTTCCCATAAAATTTATGGGTGGAATTCAAATTCAGCACACCTTTTCACTCCAGGCCCAGAAAAAATGTGGTTCAATTTGTAAAAATTATTATTGTTACTATGACATGACAGCCCTTTAATCTGAAAAGGACCGGCCGAAACTGACCATTCACTGAGGCGGGCGGCGCGCGCAACTCCGTTGTCGAAGCTCTTCTTTGCCTCGCGATATTGTCCGCCTCCGAGTGAAGAAATTCCCATGGCAATTCCAAGGGAAATCGGACTCTTCCCAACGAGTCAGTCAGCAGGCAAGTCGTTCATTTTTTCAGATGAAAAGCGAGGGCTCCTCAATCGCCATACAATATGCACTTTGCCGCAGGGAACTCTTCCTTTCACGCCGGGCTCCTTCCCATCAGCACGACCACCCCTGCGGCCCGTCTAACAACTGCGGAGAGAGGCGGGAGGAAGAGTCTGTTTGAGTGATTTTCTCGCCCAATGAAGCCGCGCGTCGCAGTCTGCTGACAGGCGGCGCGCGCGGCCCAACGGCTCCACCTCCTCCCTCTCTGTCCCGTGGGCGTGTGCTCGAGGCGGAGCGGTGAGGGTAGCATGTTCGGCTGCGAGTGAACGGCTGGTTTGGGTGACGGCGTGAGCGCGAGCGAACGAAGGAGCGCGCTCCAGCGAGAGAGAGCGGGAGAGGGCGCGAGTGAGCGGGCCATGGCCGGAGCTCAGTGACTGACTGACTGACAATAGAAACGAGCGAGAACTGCAGAAACGCCCGCAGTCCCAGCAACAGAAGAGGAAGGCCTCAGCCGCCAACAGAACCCCTCTTATTAGCTCTCGCCGCTCCTTCTTCCTTCCCTCCTCCTCCTCCTCGCCCCCCGCAGGCAGCTCGGGCCGCGCTCGCTTGGCGCCCCTCCTTTCCCCAGGCCGACTCGCCGGGAATGTGAGAGAAGCAGCCGCGGAGAAGAAGGAGGAGGAGGAGGCCTGACAAGCGGCAGTCGGGTCGTTAGGAGAAGAAAGGCGGGAGAGGGCCGAGCCCGGAGCGTTGCATGGAACCGAGTGGAAGCCGCCGCTGCCGCCGCCGTTCTTGACTTCGCCGCCAACGTCGTTTTGCGCTGGGGAGGCCGACGAGGCCTACCAAGCTGCGGCTGCTGCTTCTGCGGCAGGGAGCGCACCGCAGAAAGAGAGAGGGAGGGAGGAACACGCGCCGACTAGGCTTGCCGCCTTCGCTTCAACCAGGGATCGACCCCCTCCTTTTCTCTCCTTCTTGTCTCCGGATTCTCTACCAGGAGGGTTCAAGGTAACTTCCTCGAAGCCGACGACCCGCCTGCCGACAGGGAGAAATGGGGGAACATTACAGAGGGGGCGGGGAAAAGGGAGCCGGTGGAGGGAGAGCGACTCCGGGTTTTCTGCACAGAACCCAGCACGCGAGATCTTTTAGGACTTGATCTCTTCCTTCTTGGGGGGCATCTAGTACAGGGAATAGTAAGCCGCTGATCGCACCTTGGCATTGGTGTCTCCTGTGTCTCTTTCCTTTTAATGTCCTTGGTATTTTTTCAGCAACATTTCCTAATTTTCCCTTCCCCCATCTCTGGCGACTGCGACGAATCAGTTGCTTTATAGTAATCAAAACCTTTCCATCACCTCCTTCACTTTAAAAATAATGTGTCTCAACTCATTATTGGTGGTGGTGGAGGGAGAAAATGCTGCAGTTCACCATAATAAATAACAAAATTTAAATGGCAGTTATTCCAAGAATGATTTGTTATTCTTATTTTTAAAGAATGAGATCCTGTTTTAGAAGATCTGAAAGGGGGAACCCCTCCATGATCAGTGTTTATCTATTTAAGTTAGAATTAGGCATTAATAATTTATAAAGCAGGAGGGAAGAACTGTTACTAAATTTATAGCTGAGAAGTGTTGCTAAAGCTTCTTGTTGACACAGTAATTCTGCAGGTGAACTGATCTTGAGGAGTTGACTGTTAATATGGTGAGCGGTTCTGTTCTGAGGCTGTGGGAATATTTCTGGAGGGATGGAGATACTATATTCTAAGAGTTATGGGCAGTGCAAACATAAACCATTCTTAATAGGTTCAGAACCTAAGACTGTAGCCCAAGTACAGTTGGGAATAAGATGTGTAGAACTTTTGGATTTAATAGCCGAAATTGTGCTGTCCATATGGCAGTATTTTGAGGCGTTTCCAATTCCCAGTGGAATAAAAGTAGTATTTTTGTTATTCTTTGAAGAACATTTCTCTCTGTTCAGTATGCATTAGGTGCTGGATTCATACAACTAAAATACTGATAGCAATGTCACTCTTGCAGAAAGCCTTACATATACATTGTTTATGTCATATTTAAATTGACAACTCTTATAATAATCCAGTATCACTATATTTTCATGCTAGGCTATGTAACTTGGGATAACAGTGCGATGGTGGCGATGAGAATGATGACTTGATAAAGTAACAATTGATGCTGATAAATCTTCTCTTACCACTGAGCAACAGTTGATGTGATTCCTTGTAGAAGTGGAAAAATAGCTCTTATGCGCACAATTGTGGTTTGTGCCTCTTAAACTTTAATACATATGTTAGTTGTCACACTAAAAGTTTATAATACTCAGATATGAAAGTTCCAGTTTGATGAGATATATTTAAATTAGTGTTCAGAAGTATTTCATCATTGCAATAATGCCCTTTGTCTTAAAAAAGATTTGTGTAGATGTCTTATTGTGTGGTCTTATTGACCTGATTAAATTTACTAAATAAATAAATGAATTTACAGTGATTTTAGTGAGATTATTTCCATATGTAATTTTACTATTATGTTTAGTAGTACTTGAAAATCTGCTGTGGGCAAAAGCCTTGTTTTAAAAGCTTGATATTTTTAATATATCGTCTCACACCTTTCCTTACTGAGTTCTCTACAAATAAGGAGGAAGTAAGGTAATAAACAATTTTGTTACAAAAATTAGATCATGAAAAGATAAAACATAATGTTTTACTGAAAAAACTGAAACCTGAATAGTTCAATAGTGGAACATGTTACTTAACGAAACTGTTAATTCTTTTCCTGGAGATCTCTGAAGATAGTGGTTCTCAACCTTTCATATCTTGAATCCAACCAATCACTTTATCAAAGGACCTGTATTTCTCCTATCAAAGAAACAAAAAGCCACTTTTTTCTAGGAGAG